TCTGAATTTGGCATCTGCCCCATTCACTGTGGTGGGCTGAGCGTTCAGCCTCCCAGTTGGGCTGAAAGTGAATGTTGACCTTTGACTGTTACCTGAACACTCGGTGATGAAATGCTCGCACTAAACCTCTGGAGGGGGGTGACTTCACTTTCTGAGCACATGTCTTCAAAACACATCACTCCGTTTACTAAGTTAATTTTATCCTTTGGTTGGGAGTATTTATTTTATCTGATACAGAGCATTGCCCAGACCTAAGGGAAAGCCTGTGTGGTCAGAATGGCAGAGGGGGAAGGACATAAATCTCCCAGAATGCTCTCCACAGGTCACTGTGCACAGCTTCTCAATTAACCTGCGTCCGCCCCCGCCCCGATGCCGGGCCTGGGTGGGAATCCTGGAAGCCTGGCTGGAACGTTTCTCATTGCCATCTGCTCTGTGGAGCTGAGCACCACCACGGCAGCTCAGGTTTCCCCCAGGCCCGATGTGGCTTGTTTGTAACTACAACACTCATTTTCTTTTTGGATAGTGTTATGGTAGTATAATTGGCATTCAGAAAACTGCACGTGTGTAATGTGTACAATTTCACAAATGTTGACATATGTGTACTCCTGTGAACCCGTCACTATAGACATAGTCATTATATCCATCTTCTTTTGTGACCCTGCCCTCCTGTCCTTTTTACTCCCATTTGGATTGTTTCCAGTTTGGGGCTGTTACAAATAAAGCTGTAGCGCTTATTTACAATTATCTGTGTGGATTATCTGCTTTCATTTACCTTGGGTTAAATTCCCAGTAATAGAATAACCGGGTCACATGATACATGTATGTTTAACTTTTTAAGACACTAACAAATGGTATCTTATCATGTTATATTCTAATAATCAGTATATTAGTGTTCTTGTTGACCTTGTCAACACTTGGAATGGTCAGTCTTTTTTCATTTTAGCTATTCTAGTGGGTGGGCACTGGTATCTAAATGTGGTTTTAATTTGCAGTTTTCTAATCACTGCGATGTCAAACATCTTCTCATGTGCTATTTGGCATCTTTTTATCTTCTGTAGTTTATTCAACACTTTTGCACATTTTTGGTTGGGTTGTTTCTTATTTTATTAATTTTTATAGGAAGAGAGAAAAAACACACATCAATTTGTTGTTCCATTATTTATACACTTATATGTGCCCTTACCGGGTATCAAACCCATAACCTGGGCATTTCAGGACACTAACCAACCGAGCTGCCCTGCCAGGGCTGTTGGCTGTTTCTTGTTACTGATGTATAAAAATGTTTAATCTGGCAAAGTCTAAATTATATTTTCTTTTATAAAAGTTTGTACTTTTTATGTCTTAATGTAAGAGATCTTTGGCAAATTCAAAAGCACTAAAATGTTTTCCAGTTTTTTTCTGAGTTTTATAGTTTTAATTCTTATATTTAGATCTGTAATCCATTTCAAGTTACCTTTTGTAAATGATATGAGGTAAGGGTTGAAGTTTTTGTTTTCTTTACGTATGGCTGATCTAAGACCATTTGTTTAAAAGATTGTCCTTTCTCCATTGAATTGCTTTGATATCTTTGTCAAAAATCAATTGGCCAAGGCCCCGAGCAGCGGCTGCCAGGCTGGGAGCGGCCAGGCCCGGGGGAGCAGCCGGGTCGGGTGCGGCCAGGCCTGGAGCAGCGGCTGCCAGGCTGGGAGCGGCCAGGCCCGGAGCAGCAGCAGCCAAGTCCAGAGCAACTAGGTCGGGAGCGGCAGTGACCAGACCCGGAGCAGCTGGTTGTGGAATGAACCAGAGCAACAGAGGCCAGGCCCTGAGCAGCCAGGCCTGGAACAGCTCGCTCCTTGCCTGCCCCTGCCCCACGGCTGCTTCTCAGACATGGCTGGAAACTTTCGGGGGAACTTGAGGGTCTGCTGAATCAAGTGATGAAGGCTTAGATCTGGATGTGTTGAGTTAGTTTAGGACTGGGGTGTTGATCTGTGAGTGCCTTGGGTGGGACCTGGATGAGGCTGGTGGACCTATTGGGAAATGTCTTTTGTGTGAAGTGTATCATTGGGCATGTGGAGGTATTGTTGATATGAGAAAATGCTAAGTAACTGATTTACTATCTGAAAAGGGATTTACTATTGGGGAAATTGAGGGAAGAAGAGACTGAACATAAACTGCACCTATGGATGAGGACAATGGGGGATGGGGAGGGGGCAGAGGGTGGGGTGGGAACCTGGTGGAGGGGGGAAGAAATGAGGAACCTTTGTAATAATATGAACAATAAAGATTGATTTAAAAAAAAAAAATCAATTGGCCATATCTGGACTCTGTTCAGTTTCACTAATCCATATATCTAGCTTTGTGCCAATACCATAGTGTCTCCATTATTTTAATTCTATACATTTTTTAATCAAGTAGTCTTCTTTTTCAAATTTGTATTTTAACTAGTCTAAGTTCTTTGCATTTCCACATAAATTTTATAATCAACTTATCTGTTTCTATAAAAAATCCTGCTGGAATTTTTATTGGCATTTTGAATCGATAGAAAAATTTCTGCAGAGCTGATAACAATATTGAATTCTCTGATCTATGAGCACTCCGTATCTCTTTAATTATTTAGATTTCTTTTTTCTCTCAGCATGTTTTGTCATTTGCATTGTGCAAATCTTACACCACTTTTGTTAGATTTATCCCTAGATTTTTCACACATTTGATGGTATGATAGATAGTATTTTAATATCATTTTTTTCTAATTGTTCATTGCTAGCCTATACAATTGCTGTATATACATACATTGCTAGCATGGAAATTCAGTTGGTTTTTTACTAGTATATAATGATCTTGTATCCTGCAATTTGACCAAACTCACTTAGTAATTCTAATAACTTTTTTCTAGAACATTTTTTCATAAGATTTTCTACATAGGACTCTTCCCGTTTTTAAATTAAATTTATTGGGCTGACATTGGTCAACATGAACGTAGAGGTTCAGGTGTGGGTTTCTCTGTTATAAGATCTGTGTGTTACACTGTGTGCCCACCACCTGAAGTCAGAGCTTCTCCCGTCACCACACTAGGACTCTCTTTTGCCCCCTCCACCCCATCCCTCTGGCAACCACACACTGCTGTTTGTGTTCACAAGTCTCAGTTTTATATCCCACATACGGCTCTTCACTTTTTCTGACATTTCACTTAGCACAATATTCTCAAGGTCCATCCATGTTGTTGCCAATGGCAGTATTTCATCCTTTCTTATGGCTCAGTAGCATTCCATTGTGTACAGGTACCACATCTTCTTTATCCTTCAATCTTGACATTGCTGACATTATAGGATGTTTAGCAGCATCCCTGGCCTCTAAATGCCAGTAGCACTCCCACCCTAATTATAATAAACAAAATTGTCTCCAAATGTTGCCCCATGCCCCCTGAGGGGCAAAACTGCCTACTATTGAGAACCATAGAACTAGACAGTCTTGCCATCGGCATGTAAAGACTGTCTTACTCCCTTTTCAGTCCTGATGCCTTTTATGTATTTTTCTTTCCTGTTACACTGGCTAGAGTCTCAAGCTCAGTGTTTAAGAGCAAGCATCCTTGCCTCGTTCTTCATCCTGAGGGGAAAGCATTGAGTCATCAACTTTAAGAAAGATATTAACTGGAAGTTTTTCCTAAGTGCCCTTTATCAGGTCGAGAAAATTTCCTTCTATTCCTGGTTTGCTGGAAGTTTTTATTAGCAGTGGATGTTGGATTTTGTCAGATGCTTTTTCTGCATCACTAAGGTGATCTTATGGCCTTCATAGTTAACATGGTAAATTATATTGATTGATTTTTTTGAATGTTAAACAAACTTGCATTCCTAGGATAAACTCCACCTGATCATAATTTATTATCTTTTTCGATATACTGTTGGGTTGGATTTGCTAACATTTTCTTCAGAATATTTGCATCATTTCTGAATATGTTCTCAGAATAATTCTGGCTTATGGAATGAATTAGATATGTTCCCTCCTTTTCCATTTCCTAAAGTATTTGTATAGCATTGGTATTTTTTTCCTTAAATATTTGTGACACGATTTGGACCTGGGATTTTCTTTATAGGAAACTTTAACTACAAAATAATACGTTTTCCTCATTATCTTTTTAGGTATCGATTCTAAAGTGATATCACCTCTCTTATTCCTAAAATTGGTGGTTTATGTCTTGTCTCTTTTTGTCCTGACCAGTCTGCCTAGATATTTAATTACGTCCCATTTGGACTCCCACGTCCATCCTCTCCACTCGGGGAGCCTGGGAGCTCTGCCTGGTGGTTCTCCCTGGTCATGGCCTGGTGCCCCGGCAGTGAGCTGGAGCAGTGTCACGGCATTCCCTGCATGTCCTTCCATGGGTCATTTGTGGCTGACGTGCAATATTTGAACACCTTTTTTCATGTATATTGTCTTTATCTTAGTTTTTCTGGAGAAAGGTAATTCTGGTTCCTTTCATTTCATCTGGATCATAAGCAGAAGTCCTCAAAACTGTTTTCTACTTTATTCTATTTGTTTTGTTTCAGCTGGTGCTTAACCGTAGACATTATCTTGCTCTCACTTTGGGGATGAGAGGGAGATGTAGGGTCCTACCTAACTTTTTTACTCTCAAATTTGTACTTGGAGAGACATCCAGATGATGGGATTTTGTCCAAAACAACATGCTAGGAATAACAGCACAGAGGAAATCCAGAGAGGCAGGGAGGAGGAAAAATAACCAATAACGCCTCAGCTATAAAGACCCAAGAAAATATTACTTGGCCAGTATTCTTACAGCTACCTCGAAGCCAAAGGAAAGCGTGAACGTTTAGGCTTAGAGAGTGAGTGGTCATGTCCCACCCTGAGCTCTTTAAGACAAACTTCAGGGGCAGCTCATGATGGATGGGGAGACCTCCCTCCCAGGCGGAGGAGGGTGTAGGTAGAGAGACTTGATTTTGGTCTGACCCCGTGACATTTTCTGATGCTGTTGCCTGTGCTCACGGTCTTCCCCTCTGTCTGTGTTTCAGGTTTCCTGTCTCAGCTGGTCAGTGACAAGCCGCTGACTGAGTGCATCCGCGCTGGCCACTATGCGGCCAGCGTCATCATCAGGCGGACGGGCTGCACCTTCCCCGAGAAGCCAGACTTCCACTGAGGAAGCGCGGCCCCGGGTGCCGCCGCCGCCCGACTGCCCCCTGCGAATCCCCTGCGCAACACAGAGAAAGCGATCTGCCATCTTCCCCATATAATAATGGTCAATCTTAATTCAGAATGTGTAGGAATGCTCAGTAGAATCTTTATTCTCTCTCAACAAACTCAAAAATAATGCTTTTTCCATAGTGTGATAGTGCCACTTAAATGTCAATTAAACAGGAATATAACATTTCAATAGAAACTTTTTTTCAATTACTTTGTAAATTCATGTGTATTTAGCAAATTGATCAGGTTTTTTTTTTTTTTACATTTCTGCTTTGAATGCAGATGCAATTTAATATAATAGATATTTTTAAAGGAATTAACCCTAACACATTAATCTTTAGCTTTTTATACAAGTATATTTAATTTAGGGATATGTGTGTGTATGTGTGTGCATGTGTGTGTGTACACATTCATACATATATGTACCACATATACACACAATAAACAGCCAAATAAGGTACAGAAATACTTACCTTGCCAAGTTATGCCAAATTATCTCTTCAGTGTATAATCAAATATATCATAAACTTTGGATAATTAAATAACTTGCCAAATTATATTATAATATTCAAATCATAATCTTATATTTACTTATGGAACTCTGTAATTTGATACAAATAAAAGCTTGTGATATGGGAATTTTTTCTGTCTTTGCTCTGTGCTCAACAAACTAAGAAAGATCATTTTTTAATACTGAACCCGGAAATGATATCAATTTGTTACTGGAGATAGAACAACAATATAACACATTGAAAAATAATAATGTTGGAGACAAAAACATCACTGTTTTAAGGAAGATGGAAATAGAATCTCAGGAATCAGACTTACCTTCCCATGATCTTGGAAAATTAGCATCTTTGAGCTTCAATTTCTTTTCTGTAAAATGGAATAATAGCATCAATGTATAAGGTTATTGAGGTGATTTGAGAGAGAAAACCAAGTATAAAATGTTTGGTACAATGCCTAATAAGTGTTTAATAACTACTTACTATTTTTATCATAATGATTGTTGTTGAAGAAGAAAAAGATAATATTTATAAAACTGAATTAAATCATAGAACAGGGTTCAAGTTTTTGTTTTATGTTTAGGTAAACTTGAAGGCCTCCTATGCTGGCTTGTCCTTTTGGAGTTTTATTGAGATAATTCATGTACCATAAAATTTTCCATTTTAAAGACTACATATCAGTGGTTTTAGTATATTCACAAAACTGTGCAGCCATCACTGTATCTAAACGAAGAACTTTTTCATCACCCCAAGAAGGAAACCCTGTACATCCCAATTCACCCCATTCCCACCCCCTGGCAACTACTAGTCTATTATCTGCCTGTGTTGATTTGCCCATTTTGGAAATTCATAAAAGTGGAGTCATATAATGCATGTGCTTTTGTGTCTGGCTTCTTTCGCTTAGCATGTTTTTAAAGTTTATCCATTTTGTAGCATATGTCAGTACTTCATTTCATTTTTTTATTTTTGCCTAATAATATTTCATTGTATGGATATACCATATTTTGTTTATTCATTCATCAGTTGATGGAAATTTGGGTTAATACTTTTTGCCTATTATGAATACTGCTACTAGGAACATTCACGGACAAATGTTTTTCAATTGTTGCTGGGTCACATGATAACCTTATGTTTAAATTTTTTAGAAACTGTCAAAACTTTTTCACCAGCAAGGTTTGAGGGTTCCAATTTCTTTCCTTCTTTGCCTGTCTTGATAGTACTTGACTATAGCCATCTTAGTGAGTGTGGAGTGATATCTCTCTCATTGTGGTTTTTATTTGCATTTCCCTAATGACTAATGACTTAGAGCATCTTTTCATGTGTTTTTGACCATTTATATTTTCCTTTGGAGAAATGTCTATTCAGACCCCTTGCCTATTTTTTAATTGTGTGGTTTGTCCTTTTATTATTGAGTTGTAATCATCCTTTACATATTGTAGATATGTCTTTTATTAGACATACTAGTGGCCCTGTGCAGGAAATTCATGCAAGATTAGGCCTTTGCAGCCCCAGCTGCCTCGGCCCTCACAGCCCCGGACATTAGGTCAATTTGCATATTATACTTTTATTATTATAGATGATTTACCAATATTTGTTCCCATTCTGTGGGTTGTGTTTTTACTCTTTTGATAGTATCCTTTGAAGCACAAATGTTTTGATTTGTTTGAAGTTCAATTTATTTTTTTTGTTAACTTGGCTTATGGTTTCATATCTAAGAAATCGTTGCCTTATCAAGGTCACAAAAAAAACATCCTATGTTGTCTTCTAAGCGTTTTTGCTCTTACATTTAAGTCTTTGGTCCATTTTTAGTTTACTTTGTATGTATGTAAACTAAGTATCTTGCACAGGAATGTTCAGTTGTCCCTGTACTCTATTGTAAAGATTATTTTCTCCACTATTGTGGCACCATTGTCAAAAATGAATTCCCCATAAATGAAAGCTTTTGCTTCTGGACTCTTGGTTCTATCCCACTGATCTACATGGCTGCCTTAGGCCAGTCCAGACCATCCTGGCTACTGTAGCTTTGACCAGTGTTGAAATCAGGAAGTGTGAGTCCCCTCACTTTGTCTCATGAAAAAATGAGTTCAAGCCTTAGCTGGTTTGACTCAGTGGATAGAGTGTCGGCCTGGGGACCAAAGGGTCTGTGGTTTGATTCCCATCAGGGGCATGTACCTCGGTTGCAGGCTCCTCCCTGGCCCAGGCCCTGGTCAGGGCTCATGCAGGAGGCAACCAATCAATGTGTTTCTCTCACAGTGATATTTCTGTCTTTCTCTCTAAAAATCAATGGAAAAATATCCTTGGGTGAGGATTAAAAAAAATAAAAACTAGTTCAAGTGTGAGGTTATCTTAATCATATTAAAACTACTTACTACAGAATGTATTTCTCTTAGATAACTAGGAGGGACACTGATAATCCTTTTCCTACTTTTTTTTTTTTTTTTTTTTTTTTTTTTTTTTTTTTTTAAGAGAAAATACCTTACCCCAAAACTAATGATCAAGTACCACTCACCAACTAGGCTTTTCAAATAGTCAACTGTTTTTAGAAGTCCAAACAAGCTTGGCTAGAAGCTATTACTCTTACCCCATTTGGGGGGAACAAGTGTTGTAATTTTCACTCTTTCAAACCAGAGGTGCATAATATAAAGATTGTTTTGGACATACACAAGCCTGCAAGGGAGGCATGTGTTTGGCTGCTGGTCTAAAAAGCTGCCAGTGTTGAAATAAAATGATGTTCACTTAATAATATTTCCACTGGATAAAATAGGTTTAAAATGTTAACATCTTTTATGATCCAGTAGTAGTTCTGTGTTCAAAGGCCTTGGCTTTGTGTCCCCTTGGACAAGCTCCTGAGCTGTTCTGGGTCTTGGTTTTCTCAACTGAAAACATATTCAACCCCAGTGATCTGTGAGGGGATGTTAAGAGAATGTATGAATAAGAACAGTTTGTATGAACAGTAAAATAAATGTAAATATGAAGTAGTTTGATATTTTACGAAGGCACCAAAGCAACCTAATAGGAGAAAGTATTTTCAATAGACAACGCTATGTAACAGCTTGATATCTCTACGGGGGGTGGAGGATGGGGGGAAATTAGACATGGGTCTGGCCATAACATAAAAGCTAAACTGTTATGCTTCTAGAATAAAGCATAGGAGAATAGTTTCACAGCTTGGGGGTAGGCAAAAGTTTCTTAGAGAGGAGTTTGATACACTAACCATAAGAGGAAAAATACTGAAGGATGGAACTCCATAAAAACAAGCCGCCATCTGGGATAACATACAGCACGTGTCTGTGAAAGAGTTGATATCCAGAATTCTCTGTCGTTGATAGCTTCCTGAAAACTGCTATGCTTAACCAGTTTCACCACAGGTTAACTGACGCACAGACGTGTACCTTAGGAACCTAGCTGTTACATAAGTCCGTCTATGGTAAAATAGTGTGGAGTTTCCAAGAACCTATCAACAATGTTGTTAGAACTCACTGTACTAAAAGCTCTTACAACTCAATAATGAAAAGACAAGCAGATGACCTTACAAAGGAAAATATATGAATGGCCAATGAGCGCGTGATCAAGTATTCAACCTCATCCATCACGGAGAAGTGGGCTATTACCGCCCAGCATGACTAAGAGGGAAGTGACAACACCACATGTTGGAGAGGATGTGAAGCAACGTTCTGGTGGAAGCGTAAGATGGAAAAGCTTTGGAAGAGGCCTGAAGTTTCTTATAAAACTAAGCCCTCTGTTCTTTGATCCAGCCATTCCACTCCTGATATTTACCCAAAAGAAATGAAAGCACATGCCCCTTGAAAAACCTGTATTAGACTATTCGTAGCAGTGCTCTTCATTGTTGCCAAAAACTGGAAACAGGGCAGCTAACAGTAGGAATATAGATTAAAACTGTGGTGCAATCAAACAATGGAATAATACTCAGCAAAATAAATTACCGATGACATTATCTCAAAAACATTTTACTGACAGAAAGAAGCCAGATATGAAAAAGTACAGGCCACAAGATTCCACATACATGAAGTTCTAGAATAGGCAAAACTAACCTATAGTGAAAAAAATCAGAACAAGGGTTGGCTGTGTGGGAGAGAGGAGAAGTGGAAACTGTCCAGAAGGGAAATGGGACTTTGAGTTGATGGTGATATTCCAGCCACAGTCGGGCTTACACAGATGTATGAATTTGTCACAACTCGGGGGAATATTTCAAGTTGCGTGATTTTTTTTTTAAATCTGACACACACATAATTGAATTCTAAGCAAATAATTGAATTCTAGTTAATGATATGCACACTGGTAAAGTGTACTTACATCTTAAACTTAAAGTGAAGTGCATCAAAAAATGAGTGGAAAGATGAGTAGATAAGACAAATAGAGCAAAATGTTAATTGTAGAAAGGTAGTCAACAGAGGAATGTTTGTTTGCTACATAAGACTTTTCAACATTT